TTTTTGATCACGGGAGCAGATAGGAAAATGGGATTTCATGCAGCTTATTTCTTTTTATGCCGCAACTGATGATAACGGCTATTTAACATTTCCTGAGTACCCACGAAGTTTCAAGGCACCTAGGAACCTCTCCGCCTGGCTTAGAAACTGGATTCAGCAAATAAACAACCAATTTCAGAAAAGGGGACGCTCCCAAAGTCATTTCATCCAGGACGCGTGCTTCTGCATGGTATATATGTAGAATATTCCAGAATGTTCTGGAAGAATAGGGCTGAGTCTGCCATTTCTCCTACTGGACATTTTGGAATAGGCCTTGTACTCACTGAATTCTCTCTTTAGTGTCAGTCCCACTCTACACTTCCTCACTCCCCCAACACACAGACACACAGGTGCACACCTCTCTCACTTTTGAGTCATTTTGTCTGGGTGTTTTTTTGTCTTGTTTTGCCTGGTTTTTGTTTTTTGGCTGCACTGGGTCTTCTTTGTGAACAGGGCTCTTCTCTAGTTGCAGAGCCCGTGGGCTCTCTAGCTGTGCTGAGCAGGCTTAACTGCCCTGAGGCATGTGGGGTCTTAGCTCCTGACCAGGGATAGAACCTGGGTCTCCTTCATTGAAAGGTAGTTTCTCAACCACTGGACCACCAGGGAAGTCCCTCAGACCATTTCGTCTTGATATTTGGAGGAGTGGGGAGTGGTACTTGGTAGCTACAGCTATCAGATCTGACCTTGTCAAACGAGAAGAATCTACACACTCTTCTGCTGCCGCCACCTCACTAACCCATCGCTCCAAATCCCACCAAGATCCTCCAGTAAGGATACAGGGCATGAATAAACTGGTTGCACCTGACTAAACACTCTCTTCCCTGGCCTCAGTGTCCTCATCTGTAAAATGCCAAGGTTGGATGAGACAGTGTTCACAGCCTCTTATCGCTCAGATGTCAAACCCACTCTCAAAGGAAAGTCTAATGAGAAGGCTTCATCAGGACCCAGGATGTGGCCACGCTGAGGGGGAGGCCAGTGCAGCTGTGTCACGGGTTATGGGAGGGCAAGGAAGGAGAGAAGGAAGAGGGAAGGCTCAGAAAACGATTTTTAAAAGAGGTGTTAAAGTGTGTGAGATTATTTCTTCTGAGCCCTCAATTGAAGCAACTTAAAAGGCAGAGCCGGAGTGCCTTGGGCAGGGAAGGCTCCATGATAGGAGCCATCCAGCTGGAGCTGGGGCTTCGGGGGCTGAGGGGACCCCACAGGTCTCAGCAGAGCCTGCCCTGGGAAGCTGTTTGGCAGGCCCACGAGGGGGCAGAGCCACCTGGATACAGGCTCCGTCAGCTCTGGGAGCTTTGGCGGGCTCAGTCCCTCACGGTTCCTGTCCAATTCAAGCCTCCACCATCCATTCTACTCTGAGAGTCTGTAGTGAGACACGGGGACTTTCCTGTCTGGTGCCAGGAGACAAGACGACAATCCGGCAGCCTCTAAAAGCACTCAAGTCAGATAATGGCATCAGGAGGGAGATGGACGATGTGGTGCGTGCGGGAGGTTTTATGAAGTGGTGGTAATAACCCCTCCATCTCCACAGAGCTTTCCAGTTTATGAAGCCCTCTCCCATCCATTATCTCATTTGAGCCTTACGAAGCTCTGAGAAGCGGGCAGGTTGGCTGTTATCTTCTTCTGTTTTATAGGTAAAAAAAAAAACCCTGCAGTGTAGAAGAGTTAGGGGACCTGCCCAAGGTCACACAGGCAGCTCGGAAAAGAGTAGAACAATTCCAGCCACTCAGGAGAGGGAGGGCCAGTCTGGCAGGTGGACAGCCCCATGCCTCCTCTGTCTCAGGCCAGGCCATTTGCCTCCTCTGAGGGTCACTGTTTTTATCCGCAAAACTGGGAAATAACAACGTGGGCAGTTGAGGCAGATGGTATGTGTAGAGGGTCCAGGCCTGAGTAGACAAAGCAACTTATCTACTCTTTACCTCTACTAGCTTTTAAAAATCTCCTTTCCTTATAGGAGTAGGGAATTAGGAGGCAGAAACTATTGTTTAAAAAAAAAACCAAATAAGCTATAAAATAAATAATTACAAGACATATTATATAGCATAGTGAATATAAGCAATATTTCATAGTAATGAATATACTATAGTAGGAATAGACTATAGACTATAACCTTTAAAAACTGAATAGCTGTGTTGTACACCTGAAATTTATACAATATTGTACATCAACTATACCTCCATTTATAAAAAGAGAAAAAGACTGGGACTTCCCTGGTAGTCCAGCAGCTAAGACTCCAAGTTCCCAGTTGAAGGGGCCTGAATTCGATCCCTAATTGGGGAACTAGATCCCATATGCCACAAATAAAGAGTTGGCATNGTGCGGGCAAAGGCCCTGCTCTTTTCTGCACCACAGTCACATGGTCCCATGAGGAAGGGGCACTGAGTGCGCTGAGAAACACCCTAGCCCAATTTGTAAGGCCACATTTAATCATTTACGCAAATACCAGGATTCTACTTGCAAAGAGGACCCATGAGGAAGGGGCACTGAGTGCGCTGAAAAACACCCTAGCCCAATTTGTAAGGCCACATTTAATCATTTACGCAAATACCAGGATTCTACTTGCAAAGAGGATCCAGGTTGAATATCATTTGAGAAGCTGGAAAATGTGGATGATCCTGGAAAGCCGATTAGCACATAAAGGAATATTATCCTCTGCCCAAAAAGCCAGGCAGGCACTGAAGATATTAACAAAATTTGCTCTGTGTGCAAACTATTCAATTAGAGAATCAGTGGGTTTCAGAGCAAGAATGAATATGAGGGACTTCCCTGGTGGTCCAGTGGCTAACACTCTGTGCTTCCAATGCAGAGGGCCCAGGGTTCAATCCCTGGTCAGGGAACTAGATGTCACATGCCACAATTAAAGACCCCGCATGCCACATTGAAGATCAAAGACCCTGCGTGCCTCAGCTTAGACCCAGCACAGCACCCCCTCCAAAAAAAAGGAATGAATATAAGGTGTGGGAACCCCTCTCCCTTACCACTTGGAGAAGGATTTAGTGGTAGACCCCCTTCCCTGGCAACTCAGTGGGTCATGACAGGTTAATTATTTTCAAAAGTCCTAGGCACCCATTGCCCAGCACAGAGCTTGGTTCTTGGCAGAGGCTCAAGGGTAGCTGAATGAATGAATAAGTGAATAAATGAACCAACTGAACACGTCTCTTACCAAGAGGTAGGCAAGGAATCTGGAAAGTTTTCCAGCACTGTACAATCTCAGGAGACTCAGAGAGAACCCCAGTTCTTAAGGAGACTTGAAAAAGAACTTCCTGACAGTGCAGAGTAAGACAGATGAATAAAGAATGAGGGAGGGCATGGTGATTCCTCAAGGTCAGGCCAGGGCCAGAGGACAGTCTTTTCTAGAAACAGAATGATATCTACTGTGAGAATCCTAAAGTAAGGAGAGAAACTGAACAAGAAAGTCAGTCTAAGTGAGATACAAGATGTTAATATTTGACTTTTAGCCTATTTTTCTAGATGCTAAAGTATTAGGAAAATGAGGAATGCCCACCCTTTTCCTGGTCAGGAGCTTCTGCTCCCTGATCCTGACCTCACCCCAAATCTCAGGTATTTCTCACCAGGTTCTACAGGACCCAGTCTGAGGCACAGTCCATACCAGTCACTCCCACAGAACAATGCTTATCTGGATGTGGCTGTTTGCCTGCTCCAGATTCACATTTTTAAAACCCCTTCTCTGAAACTGTAGTAAAAGCTACAATTCAGAGAGTGCTTGCTATGTGTCAGGAGCTGGGCTACAGGCTCACATTCCTTATCCCGATTTAACCCTCAGAATGACCCAATGGAATTGATATATAATTTGCCCCCTCTTACTTAGTTTGACTCAGGTCACACATTGAATAAATGAAGAATCTAGAATTAAGAGGCCCAAGGCACTAAAACGATTATGGCATTCCCTTGAAATATAATGCAAAAGAAAAACAAAACTAGACAATAAAACAAAGGTAAAGAAATTCACAAAGTTCTTAGTTTCTCCACAATTTTAAAAAATATAGATAATAATAATAAAAAATACTTTGTAAATTATTGATTAACCTACCAGAATACAACCCTGAAGAAGGAAATGGCTACCCACTCCAGTATTCTTGCCTGGAGAATCCCAAGGACAGAGGACCCTGGCAGGCTACTTCGGTCACAGAGAATCTGACGCATGTACCAGAATACAAACCCCACTCTGTCTACTCCAATCCTGAGTTCTTAACCTCAATACTCCATTGCTAGGTGGACTTTGCTTTATCCCAAAATCCAGTGTTTCCAGAGCTCTTATAGGCCCAAACATTTGTTTCTTCTCAGAGGAGATTACAAAGTAGATATTGCAAAAGGCGTGGGGTAGGGGGAGGAGAGGAGAAATGATTGAGGTTGTTCAAGTTCAAATCCCAGGAAAGAGATTACAGGAAATCTGCTGGTTCTCCAGCCAGTTGGGCTCCTTATCTGAGCCAAAGTAATCACTTGCAGAAGGGTGAAGCCATCCATCGCTGCAGCCAGGGTGGGAAGATGCTTCTCTTTATCTTCACCAGGAGCAGAAGTGCTTTTGGCTTTGCAATCAACTTCTGTGAAGGAGCTGCCACTCAGGCTTGGCTGGGGTTTGTGAACAACCTCCCTTCCTTGCAGTAGACAGGAAATGAGTTGGGGTTGGACCTAAAGAACCCTGCCAGGGTGAAGAATGAAGGTGTGTGCTGGTACCACCTTCCTCACTTTGGATAAGCTGATTCCGGCACTGATCTGGGGACCAGACTCTGTGGAGTGATCCCTCACTGGGATGCCCGAGTCCTAGGAAATTGGATGAGAGAGCTCAGGTTGACTAACATGAAGACAGACTTCATTCTTTCTACTGTATTTTATATAAGAGACACTTCTTGTGTCTTCCCTGTCCCCCACCACCAGCACCACCCCTCCACTAACACACTTTTAAAGAATCACTCTGGAGGAGAACATTCCAGTGCCTATGTTTGCAGAATGTGACAGCTGAAGGGCCAGAGCAGGTGCTAAACCTCAGTTGGGACAATCACATTTCTCTTCCACAAACATGGACTTGAGGAACCAGAACACAGGTTGGTGGCTCTGTAGCTTGAGGGAAGACTGATGCTGAGGCAGGGTGACCATATTCTGCCATGCACACAAAATAGCAGAGGAGGCTTATCTGCAGAGAAAGAGAAGAAGGAAGCAAAGACACAGAAAAAATGATGAGACCACACAGGCGGGCAATAGTTGTCCCTGGCCCTGACAGTCTCCTAGCCCCTGGTTCCCAACTCTAATGAAGCCCAAATTTATGCCCTGCCCTTGGGTCTAGGGTCATCAACATCCCCATAGAGTCTCCTTCTTCCTTAACCTCCTGTGAATTGTTTCCATTATTCACAATTAAAAAAAAAAAGGAGCCTTGAAAACCAATTAACATTATCATTCAGATTAAGAGTCTACTAATGGTTATTGAATACCTATTATGTGCCAGGCATGGTTCCAGAAACATTGCCATGATTCATCTCACTTATCATCATCTTTATCAGCAGCATCATGAACACTAGTATCAGATGTGTTTACAGAGTCTAGGCTAGACTGAAAGAGAGTGACACTAGCTAGGTCCGTGTCCCCTGACAGTTTATTCTAGACAAGCATTCTGATGTGAAGACAGATGCACAGGGCATTAAATCAAGGCACAAAAAGGCAATGAGATATTTGCCTCATTACCAGGTTAGGAAGAAGGAGGGAGGCAGGAGCCAGGCAGGGCAGACAAAAAGACAGCATCAGACAGTCTAGGTCGGGGTGGAAGCTGAATCCCAAGGATGAATGGAAAATTCAGCTTAAACAAGGAGATTCACAGCAAGAGATAGGAAAGAGACTGAAGGACTGTCAGCCCTGGGGTCTGCTTCACAATTTGGCAGGGATCAGTGCGTCTCTGAATTCAAGGAGGAAGGAGGCAGGGGAAACAGGGGACATCAGAGGCAGATGGCAGGGTGGAAGGGCTGAGAGAAGATGGACCCAGAGAAATCTTCAGTGTTGACAGTGATTCACCTGGTAGATCTCAATATGCAGCCAGTGTGCCAGAAGCAGCAGACAGGTGGTAGGCAAGAGGCTGGAAGAGATAAACATCCAAAGGGGTAAAGCACTCAGGAGAGAGTGGGAGTAAAGGCAGAGAGAAGGCCCAGGGAGACTACATGGAGAGGAAAGAGGCAGAGGAAGATGGTAGACAGCATATTGGGTTGGCCAGAAAGTTCGTTTCAGTTTTTTCATAGCATTTTATGGGAAATCTCAAACGAACTTTTTGGCCACCCTGGTAGTAGGCTCAGAGCAAGGTCAGAGGCAGGGAGAGACAAAGGCTAAAAAATATAAAGAAAGACAAAGGAACACCAAGACACAGAATGATAGGGAGTCAAAGACAGATGTGGAAATTCCTTAAAAAGATGGCAATACCAGACTACCTTACCTGCCTCCTGAGAAACCTGTATGCAGGTCAAGAAGCAACAGTTAAAATCAGACATGAAACAATGGACTGGTTCCAAATTGGGAAAGAAGTACGTCAAGACTGTATACTGTCACTATGCTTATTTAACTTTTATGCAGAGTACGTCATGCAAATTGCCAGGCTAGATGAAATACAAGCTGGAATCAAGATTGCTGGGAGAAATATCAATAACCTCAGATATGCAGGTGACACCACCCTTATGGCAGAAAGTTAAGAGTAACTAAAAAGCCTCTTGATGAAAGTAAAANGCTGGGCATGACTGAGTGACTAAACAACAACAAGAAAGACAGATGGGACAGAGGCAGTACAGAAGGGGAAGACAGAGAGGATCAGTTGGAGTTTTGGAGAGGGAGAGGTCAGCAGAACCCCTCAGAAAGGGGACTCTCCTCACTATTTTCCTGGAAGATATTCCATTCTCTTAGTCGTTCTGGCTGCAAACCTGAAGAGATTTTCCTCTCCTCCATTCTATGTAAAGACAGTTGAGCATTGTACATTGTCCTTCTTTCTTCCAAATGTCACACCTTCTCCTTCTCATCCCCTTTCCACCCTCACATCCCCCTAGATGACCGACACTAGAGGACCTTCCTGCCTCCAGACTCTTGACATGGTCTTCATCCAGGTCCCAATAACAATCATCTTGCCACTTACCTACTGCTTTACAAAGAACTTATGAGATGACCTCTGATCTTCCCAACTGCTCTGTAAGTTAGTTAACTTTATTATACCCATTCAACAAATCTATTCATTCATTAAGCCATTATTTCTTGAGAACTATTCTCAGTCCCACGCTCATAGCTAAGGAGTCAGCACTGAACATGACAGGTACAACTCCTGGATCTGCAGCTATCAGACAAGTAATTACAGCTGTGATAAGCACCACAAGGTAGAAGCAGAGGTGCCATAAAATCAAGTATGACAGAGGCCTGACTTAATCAGAGTGCCAGAGAGGTGACATTTCTGCTGAGCTCTGAAGAAGAGGGAAGCTGATGTTTGGAGACTTTCTTAGATTTGCCCAGGGTCTAGCCACTACAGGTCTGGGCTCAGAACTGTCATCTTTGAACTGTTAGTGTCATGATCTGACCTCTATGTCACTGTGCCATCTATGTGCATATGTGCCACTCTGCCACTGGGTAGGCCATCTTGCTAGGAATGGATATGGAGAGGTAGGCATGACTCTCTTGCTTTCAGGGGAAATGCAAGAGAGTTCCAGAACCTCAGTGGCTCTCTCTGGGCCTCTCATATCAGTCCAAACTCCTCTGCCTGGATCCCCAAGACTCCATACTCCAGGCACACTCCACTCACTCACCTTTCTCCCCCACTGTTCTGCAGTACATACCCTGGACATTAGAAAAGCCTTTCTCTAGCCCCAAAATTATAACAATAAATTTCCATCAAAATGACTCAACTGCTCCCCTCTCCATCTCCTTCCCATCCCAGGATGTGGAGCACTTCTGAATTCATTTGTATATTTATTCCTTCACTCAGCACTCTTAAGCCTCTGCTATATGCCAAGCATACATCCTGCTCATGCCATTTCTCCTTGAATTTTCATTTCTTTACTTTTCATTAATCTAAATCCTACTTACCTGGAGTCTTGTCTCCTTTAAATCCTTGACACAATATGATGAAAGGAGTAAGGAACCCAAAATCACACTGGTGATCAAATCAACTTATGGCTTAAATTTTCTCAACCTCAAATTGCACCATCCTTAAGATGGTGAAAGAATGACTGCCTACAATAGAAATGTTGGCATAAGAATCAGAATAACCAAAATAAGGTAAATTTCTATAAAAGCACTTTGTAAGCTAATGAATTATCCAATTTAATGAATTCATCCATTAATGGACTCCTTAGCTCAGCTAGAGCCCTCTCTTTTTCACACTCCTGTTTTGCACACTCAAGACCTTATGTCCTCTCAACTTCAATCATTGGGTTAGTCTTCTTTCCTCAACTAGATTGCAAGCAGTTTGAGGGGTAGGGACACAGCACACACTTTCACACCCCCCAGGGTGTTTAGGGAAGTGTAGGGCAGTTAGTAAACACTATCCAGGTTTGTTGATGGAGCTCCCCTGACGTGTCAGCACCATGGCCAGGGAGGGTTTGCCTCAGCCTACAGAAAGGGGAAGAGGCAGGCAGAACTCACACTTCACCCCTAGCCACTAACTACCCAGAGCTGATACCTCCAGGGATGTCAGAGAGATGATAGCCCAGTTCTTCATGCCATCTGACCTCAGGCTACCCAGGCCCCAGAGCAGCCAGGGGACCTAGTGCCCCCACATCTTAGAAATAAGAACCACCAGCCAATAGATTGATCTGGAGCTGTAGCTTGTTTTTCTAGCAATTGCTGGAGTTCCTGTTCTCTTTGCCAGCATGGCTGAAGCTTTTCTATAGCCCTTGGGTTATAGCAATGAATTTCTATTTAGCCATGATAAATGACTTTGCTGCTCCCCTCTCTCTCCACTGGGCACCACCTCCTTGTTCTGAAGTCTCCCTCTTAGAGGTAGCTCTAGGGCCTTCCCTTCATGTGACAGGAGCAGGTACTGGCACTTCCAGTCCTCAGAGCTGGTGTCACTCCTTAACAGGCTGATTGTGATGCAGAGGGGAGAGAGGCTGGGGTGGGGGAAAGAGGATGAGAAGAGGAAGATGAGAGCTGGGTTGCAGTGTGAGCCTGCTTCGCCCAGGTAAGTCACTGATGACATTGGTGAGGGCACAAGAGCTGGAAGAGGAAATATGAGTAAGAGGCTGACAGACAGAGGCGAAAGAAGGAAGAGGCAAAAGATGTTCATTAGTTAGTTGCATTGATTCAGGGGAAAGACAAGTGATTAAATAATTCACCCTCAAGGAAGAGGCTCCTGCTCCTGCTTTCCTTCCTTGGCAAGAATCAGAGATAATTTCTTAGCCCAGTGGCTCTGCCTTGCTCCACCTGAGCTGGGGTTCATCATGAGGGAGAGGGGGTCGAAGAGTGGGGCTCCCCAGCCAGATCTCAGCAATGAGAGCTAATGGAGGGCAACGTCCCAGAGTGGATGGTCCCCCTGGTGGGTTCCCTCTTGGCTTGGAATTTTTACATGGAGCATAGGTACACTCAGCTCCGTTAGGCCTCCTTCCTTGAACCCAGGACAGGAGACTGAAGGGCTAGGGGGCAGAAAGGCAGGAGGAGACAGGTACAAGCTGACAAGGGCTGGAAAACTGGCACCCTCAAAGTGAATGGTCTTCATTCACAGAGTCAGAAGTCAACTGTGAAAATGTTCAGAAGGGCAAGAAGACAGCCTTTGTGTTGTGTCCACTGTATGTTATGCGTCAGTTTATTGACTGACTTCTTGCAGCTGCCAGGCACAGAGATGTAGGGTAAGGCAGACACAGTCCCAGGGATCCCTCAGTTTAGTTGGGGAGACACAGGGTCAAGTCATTTCCATATAATATGGTGAAGGCCAAGCCTGGGGGATGTACCAGGGCTACGGGCAGTGCCAAGGCTTTCTGGAAGGTTTCCCAGAGAAATAATGTGGGCCCTGGAGCCAGGCCCTGGAGCTGGCCCTGCTCATCTAAATTAGTTCAGAAGGTTCCCCTAGGTCTGTTGTTACAGATGCTCTAGCCCACACTAGAGGGCTAGATTTGCCAGTTTACAAGCTTCCCAGATTTCACCCTTCTCTCTCCTACTCCCTTCTGCAGCCCCACAATCCCTGCTAAGGGTAAGGAAGTCTCACCCCCCAGGCCCCACCTGCGGGAACAAGGTGTACTCCAAGTATGTGACAAGAGAACTTCAGAAATTCAAACCATTCCTCATCCAGATTTCCACAGCTGGAATTTGCCCTGCCAACTCATTGCCATGTTTCAGCAGGTACAAGACAACTCTTGGAGACATCCTTTCAATGCACTTTTTAGGATATAAAGCCTTAGGATAAAGTACAAATTCAGATTGGGGAGACAAAAATGTCCAGCTGCCCCTGGGCCGCTCCTGCCCTCAGCAAAGTAGGAGGAAGACTTCGCCCCACCCTTAATCCTCCCACATCCTTCTCTCATACTTGGCCAGGTACATCCACTGCCTTTTCAACCAAGGATTTAGTAGCAGCTAACTCAGTGAATGGGCTTCCCTGGTGGCTCAGTGATAAAGAATCTGCCTGCCGATGCAGGAGTCACAGGTTCAATCCCTGGGTCGGGGTGGTCCCCTGGAGAAGGAAACGGCAACCCACTCCAGTATTCTTGCCTGGGAAATCCCATGGACAGAGGAGCCCAGCAGGCTGGTCCATGAAGTCATGAGAGTTGGACACAACTGAGCGACTAAACAACAACAATAACAATTCAGAGTATGAGCAGACCTTATCTCTTGGGAAAGTATTTTGAAGAGAACTGAAAACCAGGAACTCAAGAGAGCAGGAGAAGAAGTTAGACAGTCATATCACTTATCCCAAATTTCTAAGAAAGACTGTATGTCCTCCCTTTTCCTGTCGTGTGATTCCAACTCCGGCTTCCCAGGTAAGCATGGCACCTGCAGAGTCTCAGAAGCTCCTGGAGAGCTTTGCTGTGGCTCTGCCTCCTCTCTCCATGGCAACACACCTAAATGAAAAGCCTCAAATGTCTAGGATGGAGAGACCCCCTTCTTCCCTCTCACCTGAGCAATATCAACTTTCTGCCCTGATTTTTCTACCCAACTTCCTGGACTGAGCCAGGCTGCATTCTCCACTTGTTCAGATGAAGCATGTGGTTTGACTGTTCCCTCCACCACACAGCCCTCCCCCCCTACACACACACACATCACATATACACATAGCGGGCTCCCTGGAAGGCAATCCAACAATTGGATCAACGTTAGCCAAATCCAATGAATTTTAAATACTTGCAGTTTTTTCTTCCCCATTGTTGCAGCCAAAGCTGCCAATGGCCAACTCAGCAACCTGGGTTTTCTCAAAGTAACTACTTCACACATGTGCACATACACATATTCACAGAATCCTTCCTCAATCAGGGCTGGGGTCACAAAAGGAAAGGGGGCAGGCAGACTGTGACCAGCATGGGCATGGTCATGGCTAGGAGTAGAGTGATGACCCCATGACTGAGAGGTTTTTTACACACTTTTATTCTCTTTCTCAATTGAAAGCTATTTAAAGTAACTGCCATGTTCTACAGCTGAGATCCCAGTGCTAAGAACTGGGGAGTATTGCAAGGTGTCCTCTCCCTTACCATTCACTCTCCCTAGGAATTGAAGCTTACAAGGGACCTGAGACACCACCTAAGCCAAACCACAGAAGTGCAAAGGTGGAAGTAACTTAACAAGGTCAAAGTTATTTTAGAACCTAAAGACCCTGGTCACCTGGCTCCCAGAATCAGGTCTTGGATTGGTTCTTCCCAAATCAGGTGCAAGAGGGAGGAAGAGAAAGATACATACTGACAGATGTAAACATTCACAACAATAGGCAGAAGAGCTCTTCTATATTGTAAAAATCCATCAGAAAACATTTGTTGATCAGCTAGTCTGTGCTTGATGTTTTTCAAGGCATCATGGAGAGTGAAAAAGAGGAATAAAGCAAAGAAGCCCCTAATACAGGGCCCCAACCAGAGTCAAAGGTGCTCATTAACTATTTGCTGTGTTACACTGAACATGATAATAGTAACCAGTTCTAAGCTCCATGTGCATGCATGCATGCTAAGTCACTTCAGCCATGTCCAACTCTGTGATCCTGTGGACTATAGCCTGCCAGGTTCCTCTGTCTATGGGATTCTCAGGCAAGAATACTAGGGTGAGTTGCCATACCATCCTCTAGGGGATCTTCCCAACCTAGGGATCGAACCTGCATCTTACATCTCCTGCACTGGCAGTTTCTTTACCACTAGAACCCCTCTAAGCTCCATGCATGCATTTATCTCATTCATTCCTCACCACAACTTTAGATCAGGTATTTCTACCTACCACTTTTCAAAAGATGAAACTGAAACATAGAGAGGTTAAGCCCAAGGTCATATACCTGGTAAGTGGTAGTAGGATTGTGCATTCAGTCACCAGCTTATAGAAGAACCAAGACAGCCGTAGTCTATGTCCAACTGTGGCACTTAGAATCTGTGTGACTTGAGATCGGTCAACAACTTGCTTTACCTCTTTGAACCTCATGGGATGAACGGCAGGACACTGACTCCCTTGTGCCGCTGCTATGAGGCTTAATCAGCTCTTGTCTAGCAGAGCCCAAACATTCACCATTCATGCCGTGTAACACACCCCGTCCCCCTTGGAGAGTTCACTAGAGGAAAGAAGAACTGACACACACACATACACACACACACACACACACGAAACCAAAATCAAGTGCCTCCACTCTCTCACTGTCATGACCACCTGCCTGAGGTTATTGTGAGGACAGACCCAAGTTCATACAGAAGAGCTCTTAGCAGAGAACTTGGCTCAAAGTGTGTGCTTACGAAATGTTGGCTGTTATCATGATTATTGTCACTATATCATCGCCATTATTGCTACAGGATATAGAAATTTACTACCACTGGGGCTTCTGAAAACTGGGCTGAAGTGTTGGAAAAAGCTTTGCAAAGGGTCCAGACTGGGCCATGAGTGATGGCTGAGATTTATAAGGCCACTGAGAAGCATAGTATTTCAGACTCACAGAAGCCGGAGAAATAGGATTCCAGCCTCTTGGTGGCAGCAGGAGCATATATGCAGGCCTTGAGGAATGGGCACTGCTTCCCCTCAACTGTGGGAGGTGGCATAACAGCAGGAGTCCTTCTCCGTGGCCTGGCTTTGAGACCACCAGCCCCGGGAGGTGTCTGACCTTCCCGGAAGTGATCACATCAGCTGGTCCTACGTTCATAAAGAACTTAGAAAGCTGCATCCCAGGATCCTAGCAGGGCCACTTCTCTGCTGTACCTCTGAAAGGGGCAGGGTACCTTCTCCCAGGAAGCCCCCGGATAGGCCCTTGGCAGCCTCATCTCCCCCACCCCACCTCCCCAGAGTCTCGACCATGCTGACAACTGTTGCTGGCTGGACGTGGGATTTGTGTGCTCTTTACAGCACCGCCTTATTATTCTTGAACCTGAAAGCTTTACTGGGTGGTTAAATCACAGCATCGGGCTGCCATTCATGCCCCCGAGTGGAGGAAGGAGAAACAGAGCTTTAATGCTCTGTGAAAAGCAGAGCCTGAATCATTTATGAACGGGCATCGCAGGAAGCCCAGAGCCAGTGTTAGGACAAGGGCTGCTTCCAGAAGGAAAAGGTTTGTTGTGGAAGGCCCAGCTCTGCCCTCACCCCAGCAATCCATAAGCCCTCGTTAGCAAGATCACATCAATTGCTCTCCTCATCATTAAAGGATGTGGCAGCAGTGGGGACGTTGTGAGGGAAGGCTGCTGGTGGTATTAGGACAACGCCAGAGCTGGCAATTATCTCTCTGTGATAAGTGAGAAGCTCTGTCCTGGCCGCTTGGCTTAATTAGCTTTAACTTTGTTCTTGCTGGAATGTTTTTCAAGTTACCCGTGACTCTTCAGGGGCTCGCTGACCAGGCCTTGGGGGAAGCCCATTGGTAGATGGGTTGTTTCAAGTGAACAACCCAAGCGGATTGTGGATTTTAGCCACTTTTTTCGATCCCAACGTCAGTTGGGTAATGTGCAGATGCAGAGTCAAATAGCTCCCATGATTTTTTTTTTTTTTCTTGGAGCCTCTAGCTCAAACTCTTCATTGGAAAGGTTATAATCAGAAAACAGACAGTTTTATTTTAGAATCATGGAATCACAAGGCTGAAAGGAACAGGAGAGAGACAGAGCAAGACTGGGTACCATGAGTATCCGCAGTCAGGTCCTCCTCTGCCCAAACCAGCCCGCTCCCCTCTTCATCTTCAGCCCCTTTATAGGATGCAAACTACAGTGCCACTCTGGGTCTTTTCCGTGACTGAAAGGGCTTCATGATTTCCAGCCACCGTGGATTAACTGCCCACTTAGAACACATGTCCTTGTGGTGGCCGAAACCCTGGGGTACAGAAAGGGACAGAGCTACCCCCAGAGAGGGCATGGTAGTGCTGGTCTGGAACCCACACCAATGTCTTCCCCAACCCTCAACACCTCTCCAAGGAACCCAGACCCACATCTTCCCCAGCCCTCAGCACCTCTCTGAGGAACCCAGACCCACGTCTTCCCCAACCCTCAGCACCTCTCTGAGGAACCCGGACCCACGTCTTCCCCAACCCTCAGCACCTCTCTGAGGAACCCGGACCCACGTCTTCCCCAACCCTCAGCACCTCTCTGAGGAACCCAGACCCACGTCTTCCCCAACCCTCAGCACCTCTCTGAGCAGTACTGCAACCCAAGCCAGACCAAGAAGTCTGGTCTCAGAGCACTGACAGGACTCTTTCCACATTTGAGAAAATGAGGCAACCTCCCTGTTCTGCCAGTCTCACAGAGCTAGCCTCTTTCCACATCTGAGAAAATGAGGTGACCTCCCTGTTTTGCTGGCCTCCCAGAGCTCCTGGAGGCAGTGTTGGTGATGGACCCTTACATCCGGCAAAGAAAAGGTGTCACTCGTACTCTGGCCGTATCACCAGCAAACTACAGGACTTGGAGTAACTTCACAGCCCTGCCCTTCGGGGTCCTTGTCCTTGACATGAAGGAGTTGATGACTCCTAAGTTCTGCCCAACACTGATTCTGGGCTGGCCCCAACCCCAGGCCCTAGGACTCCTGGGCTCAGGTGGCCTTGGGAGAAACCCGAAGGGATGTGGAAGGGAGGGCATCAGGGATATCTGTCCAACCTGCCCCATAGGAGACGTCCGCACCCTTAGCAAGAGCCTGGACCAGTAGCTGGGCACTAAGGACCATCACCCACAGACTCCTCCCTACCCAGTCCCTGGCAGTCTCTCCAACAGGGAAGGGAATGTTGCAACATGACTGTCAGGCTCTCCCTGGAGCTCAGGGAGAGTCAGGTGGACCAAAGTGCTATCCCCACCCTCCCCCAGAGGAGAACATCTTTCCCTTCTCTCTACTTTTTTAAGCTTGAAGATCCTCCTAACAGCTCCTGAGGAATATTGACCAAATGCCAAATCCAAGTCAATCTAGAGCCCCGGTGAAATCTGAGTGGTGCCTTGGGCAGGCAGAGTGAGAGGGAGGGGGAGACTGCCCTGGGGGTTGGAAGGGAAGGAGGACAGAGCGCTGAGCCCAGCATAGAGACCATCCATCCTGGGGTGAGTCTTAGAGGAGGCAGTCTAGTGCGGCCCAAGATATGAAACCAGGAGAGCTCTCTGATACACAGAGAGCTGAGAGTCTGGGCAGGAAAATGAGGCTTTGACAAGAAGGGTCTTTTAGTAGAGAACAGGGTAATCCTGGAAAACTGTCCCAGGAGCTGGAAAGGATTGGCCATCTGTCAGCTCGCCCCAACTTATTGCTCAGCTGCTCATCTGAGAGTGCAGCAGGTTGCAGGGGGCCACCTTCAGCAGGCCAAGCTGGGAGTGCTGCCCCCAGCTAACAAGCCTAGGTTCCCGGCAAAGGGACTCCTCTAGAAAGCAGGCATGGGGAATAGAAGAGAAGTTGTTGATTTGAAGGTTTGGGGAAAACAACTCCCATTTCTGGGCCTGAGTTTCATCCCTTGTCAAATCAGGGTCTTGGACTTGGTATTTTCTAAAGTCCCATCCCACTCTGACATGTTTTGATTCTATGATTAATTTTTTAACAATAAATAAATAAATGTTGAAACAGTAAGGGGGAAAAAGAAACAATAACAAAAGAGGAAAGAGTGAGAGAAAAGCTTGAAGAAGGAGAAAAAGAATGGCAGGCCAGCCCAGAAGGGGAAAACTGGTCCACTTCTTACAGCATTTGAGCTTTGGAGAGTGGAATAGGACTTCTGGAGCTGTTACCCTTTGTTACACTAAGAGGAATTAATTTGTCAAGGCCCAGAACTTCTCTATAAATCCTCAACCCGGTCACAGGAGGCCGGGTCAATTGGAGCCCTTTGCCTTTAAGTCTAGAGATTGCTTTGAAAGCCCCTGCAGACTCAGACTCCCACCCTGGAAAGTTCAACTCTCAGAACAGAGGACCCTCAGCCTCTAAGGATACCATCCACACCAGAGAAGTCTGAGTGGTTTCTGGGCCTGTGGCCACAGCCAAAGTCTGCAACTCATGCCTAAGTGGGGCAGGGCCAGCCCAGGCGGGAGGATTAATGACAGTGATTGAATATTTTATAAGTGGAATATTGTGTATTTTCCAAAATCAAATGGAATGTCATTTTTTTTTTTCAAGAGAGATGGGGGATGTCAGTGTTCTCGTTTCCCATTCAAACCACATACTCGATGGCAAGCAAGATGAATGGGCCTGGGAGTTTCCTGGGGAGAAGAGAAGAGACAGAAAAGGAGAAAGAAGATCCTTCTTCATTTTGTCCTCTTCCAGCCAGCATGGCTTCACATGGCTGCCTCCCTCATCATCCAATACTGAACCCACTATCCCCTGGACCACTTCAGCAGCTGACTGGGGGTATGACTCCTTCCCTGACCCATGTGTGATCTCTATGCCACACAGAGATGAAGTCACAGGTCACACTATCCATTCCTGTGTTCCCGAGAAACACAGAGCATCAGACATGGAAAGTTTGCTCCCAGGTCTTCCTTCATGTCCTTGGTCCAAAGTCTTATTTTCTTTAGAACTGCCTTCCCTTCCTACCTCACTTAAGAGCATCTCACTGCAGATGAAGGTCATGTCCTCTAAATGTCAACTTGGGTGGAGAATGAACTATGCCTGGCCTCCCTCCACAGGGCAGAAGTTCTGCCTGTTCTTGAAAGTGTCTGGGATTGAAGTGTTTCAGAAACCCCAGATCTAGTGTTCCCTCCAAACCCAGCCTCTTTAAAGCATTATTGGCCTGTGCAAATGGAACTGTTTGATTATCACTGGAATGGTGAGAGGCTCTTCCTTTCTCAATACCCTATTACATGCTCCAAGGCCACCCACAGGCTTTGCTACTTTGCATTTGCCCTGCAATCTTTCATGCCAGTTGACTTTTCATCTCCAAATCCCTTTTCACATTAAACACAAACCCACACACTCTGTCCCATTTTCCTTTGAAATAAATCATAAGCCCATGCCAGAAACGACTCAGGGTGTTCTCTGGAATTTGTAAACAGCATTAAAGTCTTGTGGGAAATGTCACAGAGTGTTGGTCTGAATTTATTAAGTAATTTCTCAGCTTAAAATATATCTTTCCAGCCTGCTGTCTGACAACATTTACCTCTAATGGAATTTTATCCGCTCTTGATCACTAACCACACTCCCATCCCAGAGTGCAGATTCCTCAGCTCCTCCTGGTAGGTTCCCCAGCCAGGGACAAGCTAGCCATGCCTCTGCTTCTCAGAAGAGAAGCTCTAGAATTCTGAGGTTCCAGGACTGCCTGACTTATACATGTCTGAGGGTGCAAGCTTGCCATTACACTACATGCACAGGGTTGCAATTGAACTTGGAAACACATTAATAACAGCCACACCCAGCTCACATCAGGGCAGACCAGGGAATGGCTTGAGGAAGGAACTTTAGTCTCCCCAAATCTCCATCAGACCTCAAGCTACACCGAAGAAACATACAATTTAAAGTAGAATCAGGATTTACTGTTCAAAATAGCTCCAAGATACGTCCCCTAGTCTGCCTCCTCTGCTAAAACCGATCGTCTTCGGCAAACCCCTTTTTAATAGAAATGTTGGCACTGCCCTTGAGATTTTTTAACTCTGGTTTCAAGCAGTCAATCAAATTACACATCAGCTGTTTAGTACAAGATTCAAACGATTGGCTTATGTCCTTCCTAGATCTGTCCCAGGCACTGTTGTCCTTCACCTGTGACCTCAGGCCTTCTTGGCTCCAGGGCCCATCTTGACTAGGGCAGGGAGCTTTTTGGCAGCATCAGCCTAGCATCTGTTGGGGGTCCGATCTGGTCTTGGTATTCTAAGCCCAATATCTAGGTTGGCTAATCCCTAGGCCTGTCATAACTCTGAATGTCTGCTTTTCTCTACTCCACAGTACACAGGAGATAGTAGAACATATTGGTCAAAAATGTGGACTCTGGAATCAGAGTTGGAGTCCCGGTGCTGCTACTTACCAGCTGTGTGAACTTAGATAGGCTGCTTAACCACTCTGTGTTTCCGTTTCCTTATCTGTATAATGATGATGATATTAGTGCCTATCTTCTAGAATTTCTTGAGAGTTAATTTATGTAAAAATGCATAGAACAAAGTTGGGTTAACATTTTTAAATACATATCTATTAGTGATACTAATTGATTCGTGATACTAATTGATTCCTCTCCCTTGTAGCTCAGTCAGTAAAAATTCCACCTGCAATGCAGGAGCCCTGGGTTCAATTCCTGGGTCAGGAAGATTCCCTGGAGAAGGAAATGGTAACCCACTCCAGTACTCTTGCCTGGAGAATCCCATGGACAGAGGAACCTGGCGGGCTACAGTCCATGGGGTCACAAGAGTCGGACACAACTTAGTGACTGAACCACCACCACAGTGATAATAATTATTTGTTTTATTATTTTTTAAATACTTGCTATTATTTTCTTATCCAGCTGGCCCTGTCTGCCTTGCTTCTTATTTTCTAATTAGACCTACAAGTTCCTGAGCCTCTGTAAACTGTTTCCTATTTGGTGACTGGGGAGAAGATCAGTACATGGCTGTTCATGATGAGTTGTGGCCAACACTTCTTCCAAATGGGGCTCTTCTCCTTGTATTCCTCGGCCAGAGAATGCAAAGGCATGCTCAGCTCTCAAAAGGTTTGCATTTCTAGAACTGAAAGTAAAAGCTGACCACCTTGCCTTCTTCCCAAGAGACTCCAAAGAGCCGCTCTTCACATGGACTTGGCCAACAGCGCCTGTGTTGTAGGTGAGAAACAAACACCTATCTGGGCAAAGGGAGATAGTAAAACTATACTTCTGAGGGTGCAGGCTTTACTGTGGTATAATTAACAAAGTTGTAACAGATTCAAAGTGTACAACATGATGATCTGATATATGTCTACATTATGAAATGACTCCCACAATCATTAATCATTAATTAAAAGTTAATTAATGCATCCATCACCTCACATAGTTACATTTATAGTTACCTTTTTACTTTTTTCCTCTTGCTTTGATGAGAACGCTTAAGTATATGCATGCTCAGTTGTGTCTGACTCTGCAACCCCATGCACTGTAACCCACAAGGCCCCTCTGTCCATGGGGTTTCCTAGGCAAGAATACTGAAGTGGGTTTCCATTTTCTCCTCCAGGGGACCTTCCTGACCCCAGGAATAGAACCCATGTCTCTTGTGTCTCCTGCATTGAGCAGGTGGACTCTTTACCACCAGGCACCACCTAAGAATGCTTAAGATCTCACCAAATTTAAGAGTAGTCTCAGCAAAATTCAAATACACAATACAGTGCATTATTATTAACTGTAGCCACCACACTGTACATTAGATTCTCAGAACCTGTTCATCTTGTAACTGGGAGTCTGTACCCTTTGACCCACCTCTCCCTGTTTCCCCCACCTCCTAGCCCCTGGCAACCACCATTCTACTGTCTGTTTCTAAGAGGTTGAATTTTACATTGAAACTAGTCCCAAAGGCCAATCTCAGAACAGAAGTTAAAGCAATGGATAATCAGAATAATTACAAAAGTGCAGAAAAATGAGTGAGGAGCAAGAAATCTGAGACAAAATATAAATGAAATAAAACCCACAGGGCTGGGTTAAGAAGCCAAGTGTATAATTAGGACCTACTGTACAGCACAGGGAACTCTACTCAATATTCTTTAAAGCCTATATGGGAAAAGAGTCTAAAAGGAGTGGATACAGGTACATGTATAACGAAGTCAAAACTTACTTAGTACAAGACTAAGTAGAGTACAAAAGACTCTACTCTAATAAAAACTTTTAAAACAAGAAACCAAGTAAAGAATTTGAAATCTGAAATTTTCTACTAGAGATTTTGTCCTGTCCTGGAACATATATTCTATATGAGTGTAGCCCTTCTCTATTCTAAGAGTATACCTACAAAAGAGATGGAATAGCAGGTGTGTGTGGTGAGATCAATCTTATTTGGGGTTCCTTTGTATCTGGTAGCTCAGCTGGTAAAGAATCCGCCTGCAATGCAGGAGACCTCAGTTCAGTTCCTGGGTTGGGAAGATCAGCTGGAGAAGGGAAAAGATACCCACTCCAGTATTCTAGCTTAGAGAATTCCATGGACTATACAGTCCATGGGGTTGCAAAGAGTCGGACAAGACTGAGTGACTTTCACTTTTACTTTCACTTTGTATCTGGACCCAAGACAGTACCCAACCTCCTGTCTGACAACATTACTTTAAACATGTTGCCATTAATTCTACGACTCTTCCTCACATTTTAATTTGGGAGAACGTGGGAGACATCCTTGTTTCTTGAAGAGATTTGCAAACTGGTCTAAACTCACTGGGAATACATTCACAAACTCATAGTGGATGAGTTATGTGTATTCTAAACTCACCATGTTTTTTCAACTTCACAGGTACCTTTTGAATCTTGTCTCCAACATCTAAAGGATATTTTGAGTCAGCTGGGATATGGAAAAAAGCATATATTTATTTGTTCACTTTACACGTTGGATTTTAAATAAGTATAGAAAATTATGAGGCTATTTTAAATGTTTAATTGTGCCTCTTAAACACTGACTGAAGGAGTGAAGTGGAAGGATAGTCCTATATGTCAAGACAAACACTTGGGCAGTAGGTGGAATCCTAAACAACCAGAGTGAGGAAGCCTCACCTGGGAACTCAAGTAGGTTACCCAAGGCTATAAAAATCCAATAGTAAATAAGCAAAATGATGAAAGAGTGGAGAACTAGAAGACAGGTACGAAGGTGAAACACAGACAGACCAGAGCTGAAAATAAACCTAGGATTAATTATAAATGAATGAAACCTACCAGCTCAAATTAAACAGCCTATTTTGCATTTGACATTTGTGAGTATTCTTATTAGATACAACGTTTGTGTGTACATGTGAATGTGTCTTGTCTTTAGAATGTATTCTGTATGTATTTTTCAACATTCATTAGGAAACATCTTTTTCTTAAAAAATGTTTGTTTTAAAAAATATCATATGATATTTCCTGTCTGCGAGTTGGTTTTGCAAGTCATGCGCCTGGAAAGTGAAAGTCACTCAGTCGTGTCCGACTCTTTGCGACCCCATGGACTGTACAGTCCATGGAATTCTCCAGGCCAGAATACTAGAGTGGGTAGCCTTTCCCTTCACCAGGGGATCTTCCCAACCTAGGGAGTGAACCCAGGTCTTCTGCACTGCAGGCAATTTTTACCAGCTGATCCACAAGGGAAGCCCACACACCTGGAAAGTTATTCTCAAATCTTGGCACCAGGATCCCTAGGAGACTATGAATCAGTATGGCTGAGCACCTGTGTTTTCACAAGCAGCTCGGTGAGTCTGAGGACCACTGAAGCTAGAAAGCCATCACACCAGAGAACAACTTCCACACCCTGTAAGTGATGTCAGTAACTGCTACTTGGTGCTTTAATTTTCTCACTTCTCTCCTTTATTCATACTTGAGAACCCATTAAAATATAAGGAAAGTCACGTGATTAATCAGGACCTCTTGAGCTGTTTCTTCTACCCTCGAAATACTTATCTGGAGAACCTAGTAGGAAGACAGAAGGCAGACGTGGAGAGTTCATCACTAACACAAGACAGCCTGGGATGGGGGTGAGGGTGAATGATGTTCTATTTTGGCACTTAAATGGGAGGTCAGACAAGGAGAGTTAGGGCCACAATGACCTGGGCAGGCTTTCTAATAAAAGTGGGCCTTGAAGGGATCCCTAAAAGATGGGTAGAAAATGCATAGTCATGAACTTGGAGTCTTGCTGCAGGGTGAGAGAAGGTTACAATCAGAGGTTGCTGGGCAACTAACAAGGTTCTTCTCTTTGCAGTAGTAAGATGCTAATTAAAAGCTGCCTTTGGGTCTCATAGGCACTATCTAGTTAAAGCTCAAAAAAGGAGGAACTTTTTTAAGAGTCCATAAAATTTAGTATCAACTTAATTTTTATTCATCGTGAATCAATGCAGAAACCAGAATAGACCTAACACATTGTTGCTGAGTGTGTTCTGGAATCACGACACATTCTTGGCTAGAATCAGAAAGGTGATAAAACTAAATAAAAGGTCTTAGGTCTCCAATCCCGCATATGGTTACAGTTCTGTCCTTGTCATCTCCTGGAGGGAATATCTCCAGGAAAAGAAAGTTAGTAAAACCCTGAGTGATAAGTGTAGGGTAAATCAAATTTATTGGGTATGCACAGTCCTACCCTTGAACCTGGGTGACCAGGGCTTCTGCCCTTAGCTCCACCATGTAGAGACCTCTGATGCCCACTCCTCCTCCTAGTAACGGCCCTCCCCACAAGATGAAGAAACCATAGGGCCCTCCCCACAAGATGAAGAAACCATAGGGCTAGAGACATGCCCACCAGGATTCTATTATCTCCCTTCCAGACAACACTCTGAGTATCTAGGACACTGGAATACTCTGTCCCTCACAGACCTCTTCTCCAAGTCCATATTCCCAAGGATGTACAGTGCCACCAATATGCACACACCCAGGACTAAGGGGTGGGTAAAAATACACTGTTGGGAGAAGGTATGGATAGAGCTTAGACAAGTGGGCAAAATACATGAGGCCACTTACGGTGAGGGATGAAGGGAAAGAGCACAAAGGCAAGTTGGAAGACTTCAATTTCTACTCTTATCTGAACCATGAAAATGTTAGGGGAAGACACCACATATTCCCAGTCTCTCGGGAATTGTGACATGCTATCACAACTGGCTTCTATGCCGCCCTCTTCTATTCCCTGCACAATGACCAAATGTTAAGTGGTTACTTACTGCCTACACCTCACACCTCCACTCTATCCTCTGGCGGGAAACAGCAAAAGCCTCCTCATCCTCTTTCTACTTCCTTCTGATTCCTTTCCCAAAGAAGGAGGAAAGACTTGTCTGATTGGTGAGGTTGAAGAAATGTCTGTAAATGGCTGTAAAAACCTCAGCCTTCCCTGGGCTCTTTTAGACACTCTACCTGCCTGCAGCCACCACTTTCTCTCCCCAATGCAGGGATCAACAGAGACACTCAAAGCTCCTCCATCCGGTGACTGGTATGTTTAAAGATCCAATTCAGGGAGGAAGGAGTAGAAAGCCTGCATCCATAGATCTGACTGAGTTCTCCATTCTAGAAGCAATCATAGGCATTTCTCACTGCAGACTCAAGGTCATTTTATGCACGGGATCACATGCATGCCAACTCCTGCCATGCCACATCTGAGAGGAACCATGGGGGGGTTGATGGATAATAGACAACAGGATGTAAAACACGATTAAGAGAAAAGAAACTTTTTATCAGTTTAGGAGAGAAGATAACTAGAACAAGGGATCAGAAACGGTAGAGAATAAATTGCAGTGGGCAGCCAGGAAGATGACAGTTGAAGGGAATAGCTTTGTCTGGAGAGAATATAGGGAAGAAGGGATTGAAAAGGGACAGAAGGTTAGGGAATGGCACTAGTTGCATTTAATGTAGGGCACAGACATGAAGAGAAAATATTCAAGGGACCCTAAAAGGACTCCAGGGGACCAGACAGCCTGCCTAGAAGTGAAGACCTGGATTCCAGAAGAAAAGCCCAGTGACTCCAGGGACCAAGGTTGACCACATAATGTAAAAGTCCATCTTGCAGGTTAAGCTTGGCCAAACTGCATTTAGTTGTTCAGCTAAGTGCCTGGGATGGGATTTACTATTCCTGTCTGTGGGTACCTTGAAATCTGGAACCCCTCTCCCTGTAAGGAAGAATAGTCTGTGTG